CACACACACAGACAACCTCTCGTCAATATGCGCTTTTCGCATTGCATTGCTGCAAAAAACGCATAACGAGGAGAAAGAGAGCGTTCACTGTGTTCTTACTACAGAGGCCTTGCCGACAAAGTGAAAAATAGAACGCAGTGTACTTGTTGTTTTTTGCGTTTTCTCACAAAGAATGACTTTTTTGACTCAGGGAAACTCAGCGATGCTTTTTTCAGGTGCAGCGGCTCTCCAAGAACTGTTTATCCTGGACTCGACCGCAATGATCAGTTACTCTCTCAAATCACATTTCGAGCGACTGTTCAACTTCTTGCGCGGTCGCGTTTGCGTAAGTTAATCTGCTAATGCTCGTTACGGAATTTCGGGCAGTGGAATTCATCAAAGTTGCGACGAAAGATTACGAGTGCTCTTGAAGCATATACCGATTCACCTGTCTTCCTTGACGAATTTCAGCGCTCCGACGCGCCCCATAGCTCCAGTGTACATCAGATGTTTGTGCTCAGCCTCTTTGGTGCTGGTGATTTTTCGCCCCATGATTTGTAGGAATTATGGGTAGGTTAATTCTGATCATGAAAGAAAAACAACTTCGGGAGAGAAGCATGGATCTGAATGATGGTATTATTGAAGTTCTTCAAAAATTAGCTTCTTAACGGAGATCATTTCCCTTACTGATGATCGGTAGTTAACCTGTACATATTTTTCATTGCACCAGCGAAAATATTCACTTTAATGTCTACTTCAACTTGCTTAATGCTTTCTGACATTCAGATAACCATGCATTTTCCGCCAAGCAGTTACATTGTCAATCAGATCAGAGATTTTGTCGGGAACGTTTGCTGCTTCACTCCCAAACTTGACAGCCTCAGGGAAGCCAGTCATTTGGGGATATATGTGCAAAATGAGGTATGCTTGCTGTTTTGGTTGGTCTTCAATGGATTCCGAACAGAAGTTGAGCAAGAAACAGGTAAGGGGACACCACTAAAGTAACTATAAGTAAGTGAATGTGAACAAAACTAAAGCAAAAGAGGATACGTAAAAAACTGTGGTGTAAAATATAGACAGGAAGAAAACGGAACCATTTGTGTAAATAAATGCGTTTAGTAAGTAAATCAATCTGTTTGTGCATATGCGTTTAGTAAGTAAATTAATCTGTTTGTGCATATATGTAAATTAGGAATAGGTAGAAGGATAAGTTTCCATAAGTTTCTTGCAAAATTGCGAGGATTCTCATTCAGTCTTTCTTCGGTTCCGTAAGGAGCTGAAGCTTAAATTTATACACTTTGTTAGTGCGGCACAATGTGTTTCTTCGCTCTAATACCAGCGGTTTTGTGAACTTCCGTACAATCAACTTCTGTCATCTTCCCTTAGTGGTAATGAAAATGACGAAGGGAAGTGGGAAGATTGCTAGTAAATGAGTTAATGAACAAAATAAGCGGCGAAAGCAGTACAGCACATTTTGCATTTTATTTCGGAATGCTAAAAAATGCAAGAAAGCAAGCGTCATGGTTGTAACCATCTGGTTTTGTGACTGATCCTGCTTCGGTAATAGCATTCATGATTAGTGCAACGATGTGCGAAGTTCACTGTGACTAAAGTTAGCTATCAGATTAGTAATACATGAAGCTGCCAACCAGAATTACCCTTACTGATAACGATCTGGAGTGGCTATGCTTGCAGTGGATAAAATTTGGGGAACGAAAACTCTCAGCAGCAAGGACTAGGGAAGCGATTATCAAATATTTGTAGGATAGTGAAGAGCAGGCATTAATAAGACGCATAATTTGTGATGAAAAAATTGTTTCATAGCAAAAGAGAGGAGGGAAGCACTTGAAAAGGAATGCTTCGGACCATTAACTAACACACATCTTTCACAATTCTGGTGGTGTTGAACCGATTCTGAGATGTCCAAATCTGATTGACAAAAAGTTTCAGGGTAAAAAACTGGATACATTGCGTGAATTATGCCTTATGGCAACATCTGCGCCAGTGCTTGTATGTTGCGGTCTCAGAAG